TTTTTTTTTTTTTTTTTTCTGTATTTTGTAGCAGGCCTGTTTAGTTTACAATGAAACGCATACAATCACCAAGAAATTAGTCAGGGCAAAGAAAAATAAAACAAGAACCTCTTTATAGGGATTTCTAAAAAAAAAAAAAAATCTATCTATCTGTCTATCTATCTAATCTATCTATATATCTATATATATAAAATGACTGTTCCTTATAGTGTTTAACTTAGGCATTGTTTCAGTTTGTCTGGGCCACATCATGGGGAATTTGAGTTTGATGTCACTTACCTCGAGTCCTCTGGTCGAGACCCAAACCGCAGTCGCCGTTCACCCATTTTACCATTTCGTACCTTGCCCTTGGGCTCGCTTTCCCTCGAAGATGCAGACCTCGGGAGGGGGGGACACGCACACACGTACGTTCCTTTTTTTATTCCTTTAATTCCTTCGTCCCGCTGTCGCTTCGTTTGACCTGTCGTTCCCGTCATTTTCTCGGCGTGGGGAAGTGACATCGCTACTCTCGTTTCCCTTAAATCAAGGAACATTTAGAAACCTTTCACACCTTTTACTCAGGGATGGGGCTGGCATATGTGTGGTACACTGATGTGACCAGAAGCAGCACTTTTACTGCTCCGGAGTAGGGATGTACAATGTTACAGACAAGTTTGGATTTCCTGCATCTCATGGTTTAAACTTTGTGGAGCTCACTTAGATTGCAATACAAAAGCAGCAGGCTCAGTGCGAACTGTAGCTGTTGGTTATTGTGAAAATTCACTCTCTGCAGAGATTTATTTTACTTCAAAGTGTGTTGCCGATAGTAAAAAGGAAACGGTGAAATTCTGTTAGTACTTGCAACTGCTAAAAAAAAAAAAAAAAAAAAGCCTGTATCAAGGAGAGCGAATCCTCAATATTTGTAAACACTAATAGTGTTATTTCAAAGAGGGGGGCTCTTGGCGCAGCGCTCTGCATGTCCTGGGACCCAGTTCTGCAAACACTTGTACACGTGCTTAGGGGAGGTCCGGGCTGGCCGGCGAAGGCTGCTGGGGAGCTTGCTGTGAAGCACGTGTATAAATCTTTGTGAAATTGAAGCTTGGTTCAGTCGGGGCCAGATCCTGACCTTAATCAGGCAGCTGGAAAAATCTTGGGGTTCGTCCAGGTTCACCAGGACGTAAGCCCCGGGCGGGCGGGGGGGGATTTGGCCCGTTGAAATACTTCTGCTGTCCCAGCAACTCAACAAATGTCAAAACGGGACATGCACCTGTACAAATGGTTTCCATTTCTTCCCTCCCCATCATCACCGGTAACAGCAGAGCCCGCTCTGGGCTCTGGCCGGTGCCGATGTGAAAAGCGAGGGGAGCGAACGCACCGCCAGCGTGCAGGCAGCGACTTCCCTTCCTCTGGTCTATCCAACCTCCGCCCCCCCGCCCCGATCCTGAAATACCTA